AATTAATAAATGAATCAGTCTTATGTTGGAAGATTAAAAAGCTTCAAACACAAAATGCAGAATGAGTTTAGATGAATCCAGTTTGGGAATATTGCTTTATGTGGCTGTTTATATGAGGTGATTTGGCACTTTGGCATAACTTGCCATCCCTGAATGGCAGTTCCTTTTCCCACATTGCATTTGCACTAGTCAGCGTTTTAATTATCCTCACATTTAAAAGCAATTTGCAATATAATCAGGAGGAATAAAGGGACGGTTATAGTTTAGATTTTAGGTTAGTGTTTCCTTTACAAGCATGCTAGTACCCTAAAGGACATATGTAGCAATCAATGCCTTCCTTTTATATTTATTAGCAGATTTAATAAATAAAAATTCTATAGGATTCTAAAGTTTCTCTTCTTAAAATATGTGAACAATGGTTACTAAATCTATTAGCATATACTGTATATGTTCCAAAAATATGCAAATGTAAGCTGTATCGAGATAATGAAACATTCAAGTGAGTGCATCTAATGGTGGTTACAAATTACTGGAATTAATTGAGAGCTGTGTTGTTAATGCTAATGAAATACAGTTGGGGATATTAATATATTCCATTTTTGTTCAATAATTCTGTTTCTGCAGATGAAGGGATATAATGTAGTGAGGTATCAGAAAAAAACACCTTTATTTTCTTTCTTGAATCTTACCTCATCAGTGTTCTCATTCTTCTTCTATCTGAGCTCTGTAAGATTTTGTAAGATAAAACTGCACTATAAAATTGCGGAGACCTCAACTGCTATTTGTAGTCATGTCACAATTTCATATATTGTATCAGTATCACCTTTTTTAACCTTTTCCAGGCATAAAAATAAGAAAACATGTATAATACTTTAAAATAATGTAGGACATTTCTTGTAGTTTTAAAATAGTTTGCCTTTTCATTATTTAGTATTCACAACATATATATGTTTGATAAATTAACCTATATATTTATTTTTAGATCTCACTGAAATGTGCAAAGAAGCCGTTAAGATGAGAAATTATGAGTGAACTGAAGATGAGAAAATATGTATCTTACGAAGTTGGTTTTAAATCATTAGAGATTTTTGTCTGCTAAATTTAGTACCTATTCTTCTATACCTTAGGAGAAATAAGTTAAGTCAGCGTTTTAGCAGAAATGCACAGAGTTTGAACATAAATGTTTTCTGCTAAATTACATGTGCAAAATTGGCTTCAAAGCTCATCTGTTTGCTAGATAAGAATTTCCCTTGGGCTTCTAGCTTTGGGTTTGGAGGTTAGCCAGAGGACAGAATAATCAGACTCAGCACAGGTAAAATAATAAATGAAGTATTGAAACACTTACTTTATCCAGAAAATGCTTCTTTGCAGTTTGAAATACTGTTATATTTGGAATGCATTTATTTTTCCCCTCTCAAAATGAATTTTGCACTGTTTTAAAATATTTTTTTCATAAGAGAAAAAAAAAATATTTCCAAGAAATCTTGAACATTATTAATCTTCTGATATCATATTTTCCCCAAATTACATTATTCATGTGTGGAGGTGTGTGTGTGTGTGTGATTAATGTAAATTGGGGGAAAATATGATATCAGAAGATTAATAGTATTTAAGATTTCTTGAAAATATTTTTTCTCTTATGAAAAAAATATTTTAAAACAGTGTAAATTACATTATTCATGTTTGTGTGTGTGTGCACACACATGAATAATGCAATTATTAGAATTAGAAATAACAGCATATTTTCTGCAAGACCATGTCTATACTGTGTTGCACTTATACTCTATTCTCTAGTTGTGTTGTCTCTGGCAGTATAGTTTTATCTATATTTACTTAGAAATTGAGTGTATTACCAGGTAAAATGGTTTGGGATATGCCTATACATGAGGGATGGACATCTTTTGGTGGCTGAGCACTGTGTTGAGATAGAAGTTAAAGCTTGTAGAATATAAAGCAATGAGTTGGTAGAGAAAAATGTAAAATGGGAAAGTTTCACCATGCATAAAGCTACTAGTATAGTAGTACTACACTACTACTATAGTTGTGTCAGGACCGCCAAAACATTTCAAAGTTGAAAGGATTGAACAGTGACATTACCATTGCCCAGGGAATGCCCAGTTGGAGGCTCCTTTCATTGCCCCATTAAGTTGTCCACTAACATAGTACCCATCTATCTACTTGCATCTATCTACATTTTCAAATTGCTGGGTCAGCAGGAGCTGGAGCATGTGACAGGAGCTCACTCCACCCTGTGCAGCAACAGGGCCATGAACTCAAACCTGCCAATACTCAGCCCAGTGTCCTAACCTCATGAGTCACTGTGTTCCTAAAATGCATATAGTTGAGGCCAGGCTTTTCTTTTTCTCATAGTTTGGAAAAATATTTACTTTTATTAATTTACTATATTTTTTTATTTAGAAAGAGAAGAAAACTTGTCTTATTGGCACCAAATAGCGTTATTAAAATTTGGAAATACTGCCCTAAGGGAGAATCTATTGATCATAGTCTATGTGCCACACATGGCTTGTGAGCTGTAGAAGTGAATTTCCACTTGGAGTTCTTCGTGTCCTGCTTTTTTATTTGTTTGTTTGGTTTGGTTTGGTTTGACCATGCACAGGAATGCACTGTTATCTCCCAAATAAAGCAAAATTTAAAAGAGAGAAGACATAACTAAACATAGAACATTGAATCAAATAATTTGTGTTTATATTCCAGATACATTGTTATACTTTATATTTAAAATATAATTTGGGTTATTTGTAATGCTTCATGAGAAAAATATCTGGAAAAAAAGAAGGGGACTGTTACTCATCATTTTTGAAGGTACTCGTATTTGAACATTGAGCCATAAACAAAGAAGCCTGAACTCTGAAGCAAATAAACATAAAGCATATCTGAAAGATTACTTGGGTACTAAAAATTGATTTCTTGTAATCTTGGATTATACATGTAAATAAAAAATTAATGTTAGCTAGATTATATGTGTTATATTGCTTTAAAGGAGTTATTTTATCCTGTTGTTAAACTATGAACCTGATTTTTATACTAAAGTACTTGTTTTCTACTATTTTGATGGTTGTATTGTGCTTAGATGTATCTTCTCCCGAAATCATGGTTTTTTTAATTTATCTTTTTTTTTTTAACGATTGTATTCTGTCAAGAGTCATGTTTAGTGCAATGGGCAGCTATATAAACATGTTAAATAAATAATAAATTAATAAATAGTGACACATAATAGTACATGATGTAACATGGATACAATGTCTGGTTTCATTCATTCCTCTTAACTCCGTTTACAAGGGTTTTTCTGGCTACATGTGTTCTTCAAAAAAACCACTAAAATTAATTATGAACAAAATGAAATAGTAAAGTTCCTATTTTACACATTGTTTCTGAAAAAGTAGTAACATTTCAATATAAAAATATGGACAAATGTACAATTTAAAATATCTTTTTTTCTTTGTACTTTGTACTGGGAGTATTGAGTTCATTTAAAAAGCTATATCTGAATATTTATTTATAATAACATTTGAAGAATGTGAATGATCAATATAAAATGCATTTCCAGTGTCAACATTGCTTGAAAGCACTAAAGACTAAGATTGTTGGAAGAAATGAATATAAAATTGATTTATTTGATCAAGAATAAAATAGATGGATTGTTATTTCTGATACTAAATAGATTTTTGCTGATAAAAAGACTAAAATGATGGTGCTTTATGGATTTGTTTATAGATAAGAGATGGGATATGGGAAGAAGACATCATTTGTTGTAATTTAACAGAAGTGAAAAGTTACCAATATTGTTTATACTTGTGATGAAGGTTGGGAGCATGTCTTTATATATTCCTTTTAATTTTTTTTAATTATAGTCCTTCCTTCCTTCCTTCCTTCCTTCCTTCCTTCCTTCCTTCCTTCCTTCCTTCCTTCCTTCCTTCCTTCCTTTCTTTCTTTCTTTCTTTCTTTTTTTTTCTTTCCTTATGTCTTTCCTATTTTTTGCTTTGCACCTTTTACTATTTCTTTATATTTTTCTCTTTCTTTTAATTTTTATTGTTGTAATTATAATCTTTTAAAAATTACTTGAAAAAATAACATTCCTAATGCATTGTACAATGATAGACAATCTCTAACAATGAAAGATATTCAGTTCTTTTAATTTTAGAATAAATTACAGAACAATCCGACTGGAACAAAAGGTGATCTATCATACATATAGACCCACAGGAACATCCAGAGCTGCAAATGATCAGAATGGGGGGTGGAGAGTATTGAACTGTTATTAGATTTTTCTTCCAAGTAATTCATTTTTTTAAATTTTTCCTCTGTCACTGAAATTTGGGATATTAAAGCAATTATGCCCGCTGTAGTCTTCATGTGGACAGAAAAACTTTAGACGCTCAGAATTCAAACAATAAGTGAAATCTGTCCTTGTGCTTTCAACGATTAACAAGGGTATTGATATTGGTGCTTTGTATCTATCAAGCTTTCAAGATTCAACTGGCCTTAAAGATAGATGTGCAGTAATTTTACCAAACATCCTATGGCTGAGAGTGACTAGCTTATGGTCATCTAGCTGGCTTTGTGCCTTGTTTCTATCTGGGTGCCTTAACCACTACTCAGAATGGCTCTCTTTTTGCTCTTATACTTGCTGCATAAAGAATCTCTGTTGGGTTAATTCAGTATATATTCCTTTTTTATAAATATTTAGTTGATTTCTATCCTGCCTTTATAAGTAACTCAATACTCCTTCCTCCTCCTATTTTCCTCTCAACAATTCTATGAGGTGGATTGGATTGAGAGAGAATGACTTGCCAAAAGTCACACAGATGAATGATTTTCATGCCTAAGGTGGAACTAAAACTTAAAGTCCAACACCTTAACAACTATACCATGTATGCTATAATAATAATAATAATAATAATAATAATAATAATAATAATAATAATAATAATAATAATAATAATAATAATAATAATATGTATTATCATGTATTTTTATAGACCAGATCCAGTTTTATGGACAAAGGATGGTGGAGAATTACCAGATCCAGAAAGAATGGTTGTCAATGGTAGGGAGCTACACATTAATCCCTTAAATAGAACGGACAATGGTACTTACAGATGTGAAGCAGAAAATTCTATTGGCCTAAACAGTGCAGAGTATGTTCTTATTATACATGGTGAGTACTTTATTACTGATGTGATATTGTGTATTTACATCTGCTGTAATAAATTTTATTTATACTATTTAAAAATGTTTTTACCTTACTTTCTAAAATTTATGCTGGTTGTGTTGTAAACTTGAAAAAATATTAAATGTTGTTTGGAACTGATGAGTATATGTGTATGTAACAGAGAGGGATAGAATATATTGTTGATGGAAGTTGTTTTCATACATTAAATGACTGAGACAAAAAAATCATAAACAGAATTTGTCATTTAGGCTCTCAAGTTCTGCTCCATTGACTGCAGAAATCCAAATTCAAGTATCCAAGTATCCAAGACAGATGACTATCTAGTGGGTGCTTAAACAGGGCCAGTGAAGGAGACCTAATTGTAACTTCTGAACAAAATATAAATTAGTGTTTCGAATGGGATGTCTTCAAATGGCAAAGTAAAACAAATTGCAAAAGTACTATTTATTGATGAGACGTTTTATATTGAAAATGATCATGGAATCTGTTTGCTTTCCTATGATATTATAATCTATAGCTGAACATTTCAAATTCTATTTAATCAGGGTTTAATTTTTAATTTAAAAAAAGAATTTAGATCTTTATAAAACAATGCTTCTGTATTTAGAAAAAAAGAGTGCAGAAAACAAGCAACATATACAAAATATGCAATGTTCATGCTTTCAGATAATATTTTATCTGAAATATATATGAGTCACTGCAGACTCATATGTATTCTTTATTTTTCAGAATAATTTTATGTATGTAGGAAAAGTGTGAAATAAATTTTATCAATAGTTATTGCATCAGTTGATTCAAGATTACCAACTACTGTACATTGCAGCTAAGTATATATGCTTTTTAATTAGTCAGTAGTGGTTCTGTTGTTGAAACTATAATTTGCAGAATCACCCCAGAGATCAGTGCTGCACATTTTATAGATAAATGCTGTGAAATTTATCTGTAATATCAAATTAGTGACAAAAGTATTGATATATATATGTAGAAATTATAACAATTTATGGTATTTATATTACATCTAACATTTTTAAAGTGACGTAAACGAAACCAGAAAATGTGGTTTTTGCTTCTTGCCTTTTCCCAATGGGATCTGAATACTTTGCTACCAAATATTTTGATGTAGAGATCATGTATATGGATCAGATGTTATTCTATTATTTTCTAAAAGTTATTTATATGTTTCCTTGCTTTTTAAAGCAAACTTTAAAAATTGTTCTCTTATACGAAATTGCCTTCTTCATCCCTAAACACCTATCAGATATTCTGTTGACTGTTAGCTTCATCAAAATCCATTTGACTAGTATATAGAAAGCAAGATACAGTCACAAAGGTGCCTAATAGAAGCAGGCATATGATGCTCTTTGGCAATCATATATAAGAATTTATAATTCTTCAAAAATAAAAAAGGTGACTATGACGGCCCAGAAAAAAGTTTGACAATAGAGATATAATGAATTAGATACAAAAACAGGGACCAAATTCAATTGATTATTTTCTGGTAAATGGGTATTTTGTAATAGGGCATTTTAGTTAGTTGGTTAGTTAGTTAGTTAGTTAGTTAGTTAGTTAGTTAGTTAGTTAGTTAGTTGACATATTTGGGGCTAGGGCCATCCACTCACCAGTAACTCTGAACATCTTAACAAAAGATAAAGTATTTAAAAAAATACAAAAGAATGATCACAAACAGCTGATACAGGGAGGCAATAGTTTACATACTTCAAAATTACAAAGCAATTAGTGGGATCACATTCCATCATTAATCCAATGTCTGTGGCAAGAAACAGGTCTTTAATGTTTTCTTAAAGATCATCATGGTCAGGCTTACATAAACACAACTACCATGGAAGAAAATTTGTGATAGCAACCCAATGATTTTCAAAAGTCAAAATCAGTTCTGTGATTTTAATATAAAGTTTATATAAACATACACACACAAAAAACACACATATACAAACCTTTTTTTTTCATTTTGAACACATGTACTAGTGACCTTGGCTTGGCCACTACTCATTGAGAACATTTCTGTAAAGAAAGTAATTTATCAGTGAACAAATAAATTATACATTTCTTCATACAAGCTTTCCCTTCACACAATTCCTGCCATAAAAATGGCAAAGAATTTTTTGGAAACCATAAAATATTTGCTATTTGTTTAGTACCATAGCATGATAGGTGTTTTAGAAATATGGGCATTAAAGTTTATTAAATCCTTTTCTTTTTGCTACTAGCTAATTGTTTGCACCCTGTTGATCTGATTATCTAACTCAATGGGAATCAGAAAAAAGTGTCTTTATAAAGATTATGTTGTAATGATAAAAGTTTATCATTACCTAGTTGCTGACACATTCTGTAATTTGGTAGTCTTTCATATTATGTAGCTGAGAGTTGATCTTGCTGACATTTTCTGTAATGGTTAATTGAGGTGTTGTTGTTTTTTAAAAAAATCCTAATTAAATTTCTGCAAATATAGATTTAGAACTACAGAAGATAATTGCAGTTTGTGATGAGGGAAAGGGCGTTAGTTTAGCAACACTAGACTCATTGAAAATAAAATAAGATTTTCCTGGCATTTCCAAGTTTTTAAAAGTTCCATTATTTAGCAGTCTTTGTGGTCAAATGTTTCTTTGGTACAGTTTGATGTTACAGATAGACAACTTCTTATTCTTGTCTTGTTTTTGAGCAATAAGATTATAAGTGTAGGTTTTTGAACTGTTTCAGATGGAACTTTTTTTGTCTTTGTATTGTGAACATGGGAGAAAGTTTTTGACTTTTAATAGAGGACATACCCTTATCTTAATTTTGCACAAAAATTGTCTCTATCATTTAATATATTATTCCAATACAGAGTTAATAAGCACTGTGGTTGGGTAAGGGAACTTATGATAATCTTTTCTTTAACAGTTCAGTTTAAGAATACCAAGCAGAGAACCAAAGGAAGATAGTTTCTTTCCAAAATACACTGAGGACATTTATAGGAGCTCAACAGACTAGTGACTACACATTTCATTTCATTTTTCTTCAGTGTTCATATGACATGATTATCAGTTATGCCTCGAAAATATGTTTCTTATAAGAGTAAAACATTGGAAAGAGTAAAAATTGAAACAGTCATGGCTTAAATGTTAGCACCATTTTCTCTAGGTTTTTTTTCTGAGTACTTAATTTCTGTACTTGATTTTAGAAATTTGAAAACTTGAAAAACAACTATAAACCTTCCATTGGTTTAAAGTTTTATCATCTCAGTATTCAATGAATTGAAATCTTATCAATCTAAACCAAAATAGATATCCATTCACAATGTATATGTGAATTTATTTTGTTTTTCTGTTTGTCTGTTGAGTGATCTATTGATCTATCTCACCTCCAAACTGGGAAGAAAAAGAATCTGACCTGATTGCTATGTTTAGTGGTCTAGTTTATTCAATCACAAATGACAAAATCAGTATCTTGTGTAAGAAACTGGAACTGAACCCTGGAAAAATAATCTGTGTATTTTATTTGTGAATATATCAGTTTGGTCTAGTTGTTAAGGCACCAGGTTATAACTATGAGTTCTAGTCCTGCCTTAGCCATTAAAGCCAGCTGAATGATCTTGGGACAGTCACTCTGTCTAAGGCTCTAAGCCAATTCACTTCACAGAGTTGTTGTTATGAAGAAAATAGGAAGAGGAAGGTATGCTAGATATGTTTACTGCCTTGAGTTATTTTTAAAAATAATAAAAGAGAGACAAAACCAAAATAAATAAGTAAAGTACCATTAATAAGTTACAGAATTACAAAAACCAAATATCTAGTGTCAAAATTTTTGTTTATATTATTAAAATAGGTTCACCAAAACATTCTTCACAGTGCAACATTTAAAATCATGCTATACTACATTGGCATAAAGTAATCACTGAAATTATCTAAAGTTCTAAACTCAAATCTAGGAAATTATCATTTATCATATCTAGGCAATTAGTGTATTTATGTTTGCATTGGCTGACATTAGCTAGCCAAAATACTGCACATATTTTCCATTCTGACTGGGACATTTGAATACTGAATCTGGGACCCAAATAAATTATTACATTGTTGATATAAGAGGCTTCAACGCTTTCTGTCTGTAAAAAGAACTTGCAATAGCTAACTTCTAAATGTGTGTACTTGTCAGACATTCACAATAACATATGCAGCTGGCCAGGTACGGAATGCACATTCCCATGAGGGAGAAACATTCTTTGTTTTACATAAAGGCAGATACATCTTCTAGTCAGGCTGGGAAGTGAGAGATTTTAGAAAATAAAGAATAGATCTCCAAGAGAAGTTGCTGAACCAAGGCTGGAAAAAAGCAGAGTTTATCTCGTATTCCCAGTAGCTTCAGATGAAAATTTGAAATTTCAGGTAAAGGGAAAGTCCAGGAAAATTGAAATAGAGAAACATATACATATCTAAAAAAATAAATAAGAATGAGTTTGCTCTACATTTATTTTTTTCTAAATTGTACAACTTTAATGCTTTTATTCCTCTGTACAAGTTATTAAACTGAATGGAACCTTACAGTTTTATTTATTTGCCTGTTTATCTGTGAAGAAATCTGATTTTCACTATTCTTTTCTTTTAAACTGTAATATTAATTTGAAACACCTAACCAATTCTTTCGGACCAGAGAACAGGTAATTTGTAGCTATGTTATGGTCTGCTTGGAGCACTGCATTTTCTTCTGAATGATTCTTTTAAGTAGTTATTTCATAATGATATGGATAGAACTTGAGTTTATCTTGTCATCTTTGGATGCCTTTTCATCTTTGAATTTTAATTCTAGCATTTATATTTTATTTTATTTTTAAACAATATTTTTCTTTTCTTTTTTATGGGTCAGATTGGGGAAGGTAGATAGTAGTTAAGTGTAGACTTCAGGTGACATACTTTACACCCAGAACAGAAACAGTGACAGCAGGAGCTACCTATCAATTTGGTACACCAAGCAAGCGGTGCCATGTCATG